AAGTGGAGTTTACATTCCTTCAGACAATGACGAGTCTTCCTTGGAAAAGTGGAGAAAGCAGGAAGTGGAGGGAGACGATCTCCATTTAATTTTTTTATTTTTTTTTTGCGCAGCTTGAAACCATTAGAAGAGTTAACTTTCCACACCCTTCCCAAGAGACTGTCTCGCTCACTCTCACGTGCAATGATGACGTTAAAGCTCGACACAGACACACATGCGCACGCCAACCTTATATGCTAGGTTGACGTAATGTTTGGGGAAACCAACCATCACGCCGATAGAAGAAACTACGAAGGTCTTGCCTGAGAAGTAATCAAAACTTCCTTCTTTGACTGCGGTACTTCCACGGTCAGAAATTCTGCCACAGCGTGTAGTGCACGACAAACATGTCGGACACGGTCAATGAAGTCATTTGAGAGGAGAAATCCCGGCCTGTTTTTAACTGTGCCAAGGTGTGTGTGCTGGGTAAAATAACAACACTTGGTCCAGCCTGCCTCTGCGCATATTTACACTGCGCTTCATGCTCGGCACTGGGCACGAAAATAGAGCCCTTTGAGATTTGTGTGACAAGAATGATCATCTCCACTTTGGATGCTGCACAGGGGACACATTCTTCGAGTGAATATGGGATTTATATACACTGAGGAAGAGGCCCTTATCCTGCGTGAGGTTTTGGAGAAGCTCCCCGCAGGCTGAGCGATTGCCCCTTTGATCGAAGCACTGTTCCTCTGAAGGAAAGACTGCAGCCCCTCCAACAGATCTGCACTGGTAGTGCAGCCCAATGGGGCCGGCAAACACTGGCTGCCATCATGCAGGATAAACTATTCGAGCTGTCTGACTCCAGTGGTCTTTTAAAACCTATTCACAGGTTGAATGACTTGTCTGAAGGTCAGCGGCTGTTGCCTAGCACTTGGGACCATGGAAGATGTTGAAAGCCCCGGCGATGCCAGGCAGTTGGCTCAAATTGATAGTTATACTCCTGTGGGAATGGAGGCAAGATTGCCAGGACTGGAAATGCTGCGCTACTGAGCTGGGTGTTAACTTGCTTCTTCTTCCCATTCTCTTCTAGCGAGAGGGAGAGTGAGGATGCTACCTCCATGCACGCGCGGTCACCGGATTGAATTCTACTTTGTCATTGCTGTCTTGTCAACAGCTGTCACACTCTCCTGAGAATAACAAAGGACGATGTACAATACATGCAGTGAATGGCGTCAAAATGAATACTTTCACTTTCCGTGGCGGTGAGTCGTAGGAAAATCGAGACATGAACAGGCTTTCCATCCTCAGAAAAGGAAGTGGCTCCCCAATGGTGATGTTTGAGTCGTGAGTGACAAACATTCGTAGTCGTTCCGAGTGTCCAAAATACAATACCAAAAAAAAAAAAAACTGACCATTACTCAGAAAGTATTTTTGTTTTGGTTTCAGATGCAGATACTCTCACGCTAAATAGACACACACACACACACACACACGCACACACACACACACACATATGAATGAAGTCCGGTGACATATCCACCCCACATATTAGCGGAGCTCAGAATCTGCCTGCCCACACCCTCAATCAGATCGACCAAAATCGCATTACTCTTACACCACAACTTAGACCTGCTTTTACCTCGTCTAAAGATGAGTCTACTTTCTGCCACCAAATTGTCCGGTGCTCCAGAGGCATGGAAAACAAAACGTCTTAGGGCAGCCGGAACGAGCATGGTGCAGTGAGGTCTACCAAATTCCCAAACACGCAAAAGGAGACGCTCACCGGCACAGAAATTAAATACACCCATTTTTACATCCGAGCGTAAATAGAGCCCTGAGTGTGTTTATGACAGTGTGGAGGCAGTAATGACGTAGGATGACTTACACACATTAGATTTTAATACAAGTCTGTGACATCGGTTATCTATGATCCTGTCTAATGACCCAGATACGCTGTGGGGTACTAATACTAAAATGTGCAAAGCTGCAGATTATTTCTTCCAGTTATTTTATGCTCTGAGCAGGCCAAATCCTCTCGAGTGGAGCTATATTAGGATTTGGGGGCTGTTGCAAGTGGGAATTAAATAGAGGAAATGTGTGGGTACGGGTGGCATGTGATTGGGAGTATTGGCAGTCGGGAGGGATATGATCAAAAATATCAATCGAAAGAAAATAAAACATCTAAATTCTCGACAATTTTGGTGAGCAGGCTTTTTTTTTTCAATTAGAGTTGATAATCAAAGAGAATAGTTGAGAAAGTCATCACCCCCACCCCAACAAGCGCAAAGTATTACGCTTATCACTGTCTTTAATCAATGATTACAATACAGTATTATGTAAACTTATACAACCTCATAAGATAAACTTCTGGCGCTTTATCTAAAGTTTTGCCCAAATATTAGATACAGTTTTGGTTGACATTGTCAAAGAGGTTTGAAATTGAAAATCCAGTTAGAGTGGCGAATTATTTAGGACTGTAATATTGCACTGCGGGCGGCCCGGTGGTCCAGTGGTTGGCGCGTCAAACTCACCGTGCAGAGGTACCGGGTTCAATTCCACTTCCGGCCTCCCTGTGTGGAGTTTGCATGTTCTCCCCGGCCCTGCGTGGGTTTTCTCCGGGTATTTCAGGTTCCTCCCACATTCCAAAAACATGCATGGCAGACTTATTGAACACTCTAAATTGTCCCTAGGTGTGAGTGTGAGCGCGGATGGTTGTTTGTCTCTGTGTGCCCTGCGATTGGCTGGCGACCGGTTCAGGGTGTCCCCCGCCTACTGTCCGAAGACAGCTGGGATAGGCTCCAGCACCTACTATGACCCTTGTGAGGATAAGCGGATTGGGAAATGGATGGATGGATGGATATTGCACTGCATCATCCTAAAGGTGTTGACAAAAATGTCTCTTTTATGTACTGCAGCTAAATCCAGTGCGGTTGTGCATGTGTACCTCATAGAGGGCCCATTATGTTTGTAGATGAGTTATTGGCTGATTGCAAGTATTCATAATCCATGCACCCAGGAGCGCTTATAGTGTAACACCCAATGAAATGCAGCGCAGGTTTAAAATAGCCTGAACACCTACCATGAATTTATCCATGATTGAATCTGACCCTGAGATATAATCCCACATGAATTGTGCCACTCAACACTTGCCCACTTGCACACATACTCGTACTGTGTGGCAAAAACAAAGCATTTTGGGATTTATTTATTTATTTATTTATTTTTTAACTTGGCCACTTTTTCAATGTTGTTCATGCTTTGAGCCTGAATATCACAGTGATACGAAGCAACAAAAATGTAGTGCTTGCATATTCACTATAAATAAGGTCACAAAAACACTAAAACAGCAAATGTTTACGGGTGGTAATGCATCCATATTCAAACAAAACTGTAAATTACTTGACAGCTTTTATGAATGTATTCATGTCGAGTTGGTGATTGGTAGTGTAGGGATTGAGGTGCCTTATCTGAAGCTGGCATGTGCTCAATTCCTGCTCAATTTTCCAATTCACAATCACCATACATGTATCCGAACAGACACAATTTGGATTCAAATCTGCAGCGTGCATTGTTTCATGCAGCTATCGTGCCTCTTGGTTTCGACATCGGTTCCACCACAATTGACAGCAGACTACTGCTCCTTTTGTGCATTACAATCTTACATTGCCACCTGCTGGAATATTTATATAGGTACCACATGAAGCCCCCAAACTTCAAAGTTTAAAGTATAAACACTGAACATACCGTATACAAAATGCGCACACACACACACACACACACGCACACACACAGACACACACACACACACGCACACACACAGACACACACACACACACGCACACACACGCACACACACGCTAAATAGTGCTGTAATTAATTATTCGCAATTAACGCGATAATTAAGAGAGAGAGAGAGAGAGAGAGAGAGAGAGAGAGAGAGAGAGAGAGAGAGAATTAGAGAGAGTGTCACACATTGATGTCGGAAAAGAAAGCCTGGCTGGTTCTGCTATATTTCATACAAAAGGTGTTCAGGACTCTGTTCAGGGCAAGGCCAATAAGTTTATCCATGCCAAACTCTCTCATATATGTTTTGACGGGCTTAGTTTTGAGAATTTTGCATATAGTCATTCTGGTTCAGGAAGAACTGTTCTTACAAAGTTGGGAGCATGCAATTGCCCAAAATATTGTCCCCTTCGCTCCTGTCATAAAGACAAATGAACCATATTATTTTTTGTGGATTTTTGTTGCTGTGTGATGTCATTGTGTGATACTATATGAGTTTTGGAGAACATTAAATTGTGTCAGGGAAGGTAAGTGTCACCACCTGTGAATGGCCAATTGCAGCTCTGACCTGATTGGCTCGCAACTCAGGTGAACTCCTTTTAAAAAGGGATTGAGGAAGTCACTCATGCCGGACAGCATTAATGCATGTGTACTCTAAACCTGGTTGGCTGTGTCCTACTGAAAAAAAAAAGGGAAAATATCCTTCCTGGCTGAAGTGGTTTTTATTCTTTTTCCACACGGCCTGCTTTTTCGCCACATAACAGCTCCAATGAAAGGAACTCTGAATGGTTCCCCATCATGCCAAAAGATTTTGGATACTGTAATTCCATGCTGCCAACTTTGTGGGAAGAGCATTGGGACAGCCCCTCCATATTCAAACAAGGTTGTTGTCAATCCTTTAGTCGGGAATTTAGTGTCGCTGTAGCGTTCCTTTCCCTTCCAGGGTGTTGTGCTCACCGTCTGCGGCACAGTGGCGCTGCGGTCCCCGTGTTTGGCTCTCTCCGACTGCACTGTACTCCCCCCCCCGACGCCTACCCACAGCAACCCGATACCGGAGACGAGCGGTCCAAACAAGCCTGCAAATAAATGAGGCGTTCCCATCCGCCCAGCCTGTCTGTCTGTCTGCCTAACGGAGCTCCAAAGCGTCTAGGACGAGCCCAGTCGACCGCCCCGAGAAAGATCAGCTCCAGAGATATACGTTGCCTCCCCCCCCCCCCACCCCCACGCCCCCCCCCCCCACCCGCCCGCTTGCAAGCTCCCGAGTGCTTTTTTTTTCTCTCTCTCGTGTGCGGAAAGGCGGAAAAGTCACTGCGTTTGGAAGCATTCCTCTCTTTAAGACCGAGAAATAAGCTGGGACGCCGAAGGGGAGGACGAACTCGCTAGCAGTTGGCTAACGTCGGCGAGCTTCCATAGCGTTTAGCCATCTAGCCAAGCTAATTGGCTAACGTGTAATTACATGGGAACGTCCTGTTTGTAGAGTCGATGTACACCCGAGAATGGTGTATGGATAATTCCGTGGAGTATGTGTCGTTTTAAGCGACATTTTTCGTCTTTAGCCAAGTTTTTTCAGCGGGAGACTGGCGTCCAGTGGATAGCATGTCAGCTTGTAGAGATGGCTTGTTTCTGCAATCGCGCTTTATATACGCCAAACAACTTCATCGCATAGGTTTCATGCGGGAATCAATCACTGGACGGCGTTAACTTGTTTTACTCCCTCTTGACGGTACAGCGAGCACCAAATGTATAGCTTTGTGCCAGGAGGAGCATTTCGACTAATTGTGCTGAACCGAGGACCGAGGCAAGAAACATTTATGTGGTAACTGCAAAAAAAAAAAGGCGAGGACCCGAAAGTACATCAAGTGTGTGGATTAGCTCCAAGTGAAAGACCAAAGTCGATCTATACGATCATGCCCGTGGGCCGAACTACAACCATGCAGTGTCTTGCAAAATTCGGCTTTTGCCTGGCTCTTCTCCTTACTCCAGTGGCTGGTAAGTGGCTAAGCTGCGTATAGATTGTCTTGTAAATATTTAATGTATGTACTGTAGTGTACACCAAACACGTCACTCGAGATCACTTAGTGTTGTTCCGGTTCTAAGTCTTCACGGTGATGATTTTCTCAAATATTCTCAAAACATCATCTTTTTTGCCCGCCCCCTTCGCTGTGCTCTATGGAGCTCATCTCATTGTTGTCCAGTAGCCTTCACAGATAACTCATCTTGAGCGCTCAAGCAAATACCCACACTGGCTCCTTTTTAATCGTTCTGTGTACAAAGGCCTGGAAAAACACTGCCAAACATACTGCAGGCCTTGTCTGCCAAGTTGTGCCCCAACCCCCCCTTTTCCAGACTCTCTGTTGAGGCCAGGCTTCCGTGAGACCTTGAGCATGATAAGATATTCGCTTGGGTTGCGCTGAGATGGAGGAACGGTGAATGCAGGGAATGTTTGGGAAGATGGGAACAATATCTGTATTTTTAACGACAGTCATTCCATGGCTTGGTCATTGGGGGTGTGCTGGAATTAGTGCATCTATCCTGAAAATGTCCAAACTAGGAGACATTATTCAGAAGTTTGCGCTGCCATTCCTGCCTTTGTTACAGTAGAATAGAATAAAATCTGCTCTGTTGTAATTAATATCCACACGGTTTTGCCTGATGTACTTTTAACAGGTATGTGATTATTGGCACCAATAGAAATTAAAGGTAGTGATTAATTATTTGTACAAGTGCATCTATTCATCGACGATGATCAAATGAATCAATAATTGTTATTGAGAACTGATTAATCCTTTTGCTAGATTTTATTATCCATTTGCTTGGAATTTCAGCATCTCAACAGTACGTATGAACTGATTTCTATCATTCTATATGAAAACGGGCTGAATATTATTGTTGCATCAAAATAAAACATTTGCTTTTCCTTTGGAAAACGATCAACATTTTTGCCTATTTTCAGACATGTGACAGACCAAACCAGGAACTGAATCACAATTAGTTATTAATTTGTGCATTTTCTGCACTGCACTGTCAATTTGAAGTCATTATTTAACATAACAGCACAGTTACTTACAATATGAATTTAATTATTTTTAATTTATTGCTGACTTTTTTGTGTTGATGGCTGTCAGTAAGTTCTACAAAAAAAAAAACAAAAAAACGAGACTTTCCACTTCCTTTTGGATATTTATTTTTCCTGTTAAAACAAATGCTTAATTTTCCCTGAACCCCAAGTAAGAACGTTATCGATATATCTGTCAAAAATATTGTGATATTAAATTTTGGCCATATTGCACAGCCCTACCAAGTACCAATACTTGATCATGCCATTATGTTTTGGAATTCTGATGAAAACGTATCTTATTGCAGTCTAATCAAATGTTGTTCAAAAACACATCCTTTTCTTGAACATGGCATATTTTTCAGAGTGACATCTTATCATTGCAACTTCACAGCACTGCCCGAATAAATCCCGTGTGACTAAACAATGTCGACAAAATTAATCATTCCAATGTACAGTATATTATCCAAAACATTCCAATACAAATGTGAATTACCCTCGTATTCCGGTTTATAATGATACACAAAAAGAAATGAACAAATTCACTTTTGTTTACCTGAACGCAGCTCACACCACAGCTGCCATGTGACTGCCAGTGTCGACACGAATGGCACGAAACAGCAAGCCAGCATTAATTACATGACAACTGTTGGGGGCAAAAAAAACTTAGAAACAAAATACAGCTAAAGTCAAACACATGCATTGAGTTGGTTGCCAGCCAATTGTAGGGCACATATAGACAAACAACCCATTCGCACTCACAATCACACCTGCGGATAATTTAGAGCGTTCAGTCAACCTGCCTTGCATGTTTTTTGGAATGTGGGAGGAAACCGGAGTACCCGGAGAAAACCCACCCAGGCACTGGGAGAACATGCAAACTCCACACAGGAAAGCCGGGTTCGGATTCGAACTCACGACCTCTGCACTGTGAGGCGGATGTGCTACCGTGCCACTTTCCTGCAAGTTTTAAATGTCTCCCTCCTCCAACAGACCTCAATTAAGTTATTAGCTCATCAGCAAGCTCTCCGGAAGCCCGATAAGGATCCTGAGCATCTCAGTCAAGTGTGTTGGAGGAGGGAGATATCTAAAACATGCAGGAAAGAAGCCTTCTAGGACAAGGTGGCAAAAGCAGCACCCTTATGAATCTGCCAAAATGGGACCTTTAAAAAAGTCGGAGCTCACTTCCTTCCTGTACATCTCGCCATATGGCTGGAATGGACATTTTTGTACAGTTGAGGATGCTGCACGTGCCTCCCAATTTTTGTAGCACTCAAACTCAACTGTATTTCGAGAGCACTTTAAAAACAACCGCCGCTGTACATGCAGCAAAAATAATTCATACTACAACAAACAATAAAACAACAAATTCATAACAAAGATAGTAGCAAGCAGAAAAGCAGTAAAACAAAAAATCAAGCCTACGCGGAGTCAAAAGCCAAACACTAAAAATGAGTTTTAAGATTGAGTTTTAAAGATGGGCAACGGTCAGTGGGAGGTCATTCCAAAGAGAGGCAGCGGCAACGGAAAAGTCTAGATTCTCTCTGAACCTCCGCTTAGTGCTCGGTACCTCTTATAGCGTCTGGTCCGCAGACCTGAGGCACCCGGCAGGTGCGTATAGGGGCGGAGGAGCTCAGAGAGGTAAGGTGCGGCCAAGCTATTTCAAGATTTGAAAACAAATAATAGAATCTTCAAAAGAAATCTAAAATATGTCGCACTAGGCAATTTTCCCTTTTATCAAAGTAGAACACATTGAATGGGGTCCGCCTACCCTAGGTCACATGTACCGTGATTGGATTTTTTTTTCCCACTGTAGGTGGCGCTCTAGAGCAGAGGTCCCCATACCGGTCCGCGGGTTGTGGACCTCAGTATGGATGGGCCGACTTCACGTCGATACCGGTGCAGTTCGAGGATGAAGTCTGTGCTGTTTGCACACGAGTGGGACATGTTCATGTCTGTGTTGGCCGTTGCCATGTCAACATTATTGGCTGTTACCTGCTCGATATTTTCAGGGTCTGGTTAAGGTGTGTCGGTCAAAATCTGTTGAATTCGTTTTGTGGTGTCTATGGATGTAAAAAAAAAAAAAAAAAAGCAATATTTTGATTGAATGTTGAAGTTGTGAACGGGTTGTCTTGCATCGATGTCTGGTTGAATTCAGAGTGAATCATAAGCGGCATTTGTGTCTTACCTATCCACTCCATAGACTGTCAATCGGATTTGCTGTTCAAAAAAAAAAAAAAAACGTCACGTGTACCCCACTCAATTTACAGGTGGAACGGTGAGAAAGTCATTGGCGCGTCTGCTGCTGAGAGGAAAAACAATTCTGCTGGAAAACAACTATTGTTACGTCATCCTTATCAGATTCTTTTTTTTTTTTCTCTCTTGCTCCAAAAATATCAAGCGCTCGTATCACCGTTTAAACAGTGAGTAAAATCGTTTCAAATTGGAATTATCGCGAATACCACATCTCTGAATTATATTCAGAAGACAGCTCTGATTTTATTTTTATTTGTGGTACAGCCTGTGTTAGCTGTGCCAAGAGCGTCTGTCGCTCATCTTTCAGGGCTTTGCAAGTGGAGGCTCACGAGTCGTGCTGCGGACAAAAGTCAAAACGATATCGTCCAGTTGTTAGCGAGTCTTGTTAGCATTTTCGTACATACTCAGTATTTGCTGCCTCGATGCATTTGTCCTTGGCGTGTTTGTAAACTCATTTTGGTTGTTGCCGTTTTCTCGCTAATTATTTCATTTGAATTTATTCATGCTATTGCGTCCGCCCATGCATTGTTTTTCATTCCCACAAAATCTTGCACATATTTATATTTTCCCTTGGCAGTATTGCGATAATACTGGATTGGATTGATAAAACCATGACATGAGCCATGCCCGCATCGAAAAGTAGTTGTTTTTAGATTCAATATTTGGGTTATATCAGCCAGCATGTTTTGGCTAAGCTTCTGTTTCCCTCCAAGGGTTGTTTCATGCCAAATCAGCCAGCGGGTTGAACCAAGCAGATTTGGATTTTAATAAAACTTGGTGTACGTTGTTTATAGTGATGGCAGAACAACTGGGGGCCTCTTGGAAAAGTCACATCTCCGAAACTTTATGCCACCTTCGCTTCACCTTTGTCGCATGATGTCATCTGATATATATGGCAGCCACGCCCCTTTTTGCCCAAAAGGTCCAAATTTGGCGGGCCGCAGCTCCCAAACCCTTGCTGTGATTAACTTCAAATTTGAGATTTAGTGTTGTGATGATCACTGATGATATATATTTGCTCTCTTCCACCAAGTTGCAAAGCATGAAAATGATCAGTGTAACAAACACTTTTTTTACATTTCACGTGGTAAAATGTATGGCGAAAGAGTTCCAACTGTCAAATGAAATGTGCAGGTGCACATCAAATCAAATATAAACCAAAAATGGATTAAAATCAGTCAAAAGTCAGCACTCAAACAAATGACAGCGACGGAGTGCAATTACAGGCTCACTGGAAAATATCAACCAGTGGAAATAGCAATGAAAACAAAAATGCATGTCAAAGGTCGCGTCCCATTAGTTTGATGGAGTAAAGTTTTGAGGTGGACTGTTTTAATTCATAGCAAGTCATATTTTTAGGCTCATCTCTTTCTTTTCTCGGGATGTACAAATATGTACATTTCCGAGTACTCAGTGATGCGAAATACAAATACTTGATCATGCCATTCCTTCTGGCATTCGTGATGAAAAATTGTGTTTTGTCTTCATCAAATACTGTATTGTTCGGAAACATAAAAACCTTTCCTGGACATGGCATTGGTTTCACTTCCTCGTTAGTGTTTTCTCATCTGTGTTTGCGTTTGAGTACGGCTACAATGCTAACGTTATTGGGGTGAAAACGTTGAAAAGACATTCGACTGGAGTAGTCTGTGCCCACAAAGTAGTTCCTCACGTGCAC